ACACTATAAATGTTTTACGTCGAAAGAAAATTGTGCTGACACTTTGGTACTCTGGGCAGTCAACTATATATTATCTTTACCAACAGCGCCCCATAAAGCTGATGAGTTGCGTTGATAAGAAAATAGGATTCTAAGGCGAAGACTACAGAAAATGGGATTTTTATCATAAAGACTACAAAAAAATGGCATTTCTAACATGAAGACTACAGAAAATAGGATTTCTAGGACGTAGACTACAGAAAATGGGATATCTAAACAGGAAAAATAAAGAAAAATAATAACTCAAAGTATAACATTTCTAATTGGCTAAGATTTTTCTTTAGGTTTATAATAATTATTGAAATTGACGGGTTTTAGGATACAGTAGTTAAATGAGACAGTCATCGTCACAGGGACTACTCTTTGTGTGTGTGTGTGTGTGTGTGTGTGTGTGTGTGTGTGTGTGTGTGTGTGTGTGTGTGTGTGTGTGTGTGTGTGTGTGTGTGTGTGCGCGCATATTCATTCTCCTTGTACTTGCCTCTGCACACTATTGTACAATGTATAATCTTATTCATTTAATTACCTGTACATTTGTATTTGTATTTGTCTAATATAATGTATAAGCACTCCAGGACTGAGTTGTGTATATTACTTGTATTTTTTGTAGAAAACAAGAAGAAATCTTATAAACAGTTTCTGACTAATATGTTTATAAACTTACAGAGAAGAGATAACAAAATTCCCTTTTTCTTTTTGAATAATCTTGTAAACAAATTGTTGTTTAATAATGAAATAAGCTTTACCGAGATATTTTGTAAATATATATATTTTTTCATAACATGTTGTTAAACACTTGTTATTATATTTGCTTCATTTTTCTTTCGATATTTGTTAAACGGTTTATATTTTTTTATGCGTTGACGGATTTTTAAAAATGAATTTCAAGAATATCATGCAAGAGTGTTTGTAAATAGCATGTTTTTTTATTCCTTTTCTGAATAAACTAAACTTGGTGTATAGTTATTTATAAATCTCATCTTTCATTCCATTATCTACCTCCTATGACTCATTTTTAGTCGTATAGTCCGTTGTACGCGTAATTAGTCTAGTCCTGCCATGCGTTGCCTTTCCTCGCCTAGCCAGGGCTGGGTAGTCGAGTAAAAGAAGTAAAACAAAATGTAGAAAAATACCTATTCTATGGGCATTTTTAATTTATAACCAGGGATATATAGGTGTTAAAGAGGGAGAGAAAAAAAGTTCAAAATTGTAGCCCGGGGGGGGAGGGGGCAAGACCTTAAGGGGGCCAAGCAGAGCTACCTCCCCCCATACCCTAACTGGCGTCACTGGGGTGCAAGTGAAGAAATGACAATTACCTTATGAAGACACAATTGCGTTATGAAGTGATTAGGAATTCGCGTAGGCACCGGGCCATTCGTTCTGACAGGAAGCGCCTACCCGTGCCGAAAACTGACGAGAACATAATAGTTACTTAACCAGTTCTTAAGTGGTTCGACAGTTACTTTAGACACGCTTTAGACACTATCGCGGAAACAATTAGAAAAACTGTTTAAAATAAAAAAAAGTTAGGGAGTGATTAACTACAACAGTCCGCCTCATAAACATGCAGGCTTCACAGCAGTGGTTTTTATCTCCCCCCCCCCCCCTTTGGAATTTGTCCTTCCCTCCACGCCTCCCTTGCATCTGTAAATAAAATTCCCTCCCATATATGAAAGAAACTCATAAGTATGGTTTGTTAGTCTATTTAATTAGTATAAATTAGTGGTATTATAATTGACATACAAAGGTATACAGAGAATAATTACTGAAGACTCGTTGTCCATAAAAATAAAACTAATTGATGAACAGAAAGAGGCATGTTAATAGGATAACAGAATGATAAACACGAATAATGTTACTTAATAACGCCATATATACAATAATGACAAACATGGACAGTGGGATGCAAAGTCTGCTTATATGTATTAGGATGATAAACATGAAAAAGTTACTTTATATATATAATGATAAAAACTACGAACAGGAGGATGTGAAGTCTGTTCTTTGTGGGCAGTCAGTTTCTTGCTATTTATTGATTAATTTATTTCAGAAAGAGAGAGAGAGAGAGAGAGAGAGAGAGAGAGAGAGAGAGAGAGAGAGAGAGAGAGAGAGAGAGAGAGAGAGAGAGAACATATAGAATATTTATATAGATAGATAGATGAATATATATATATATATATATATATATATATATATTTATTTATATATATATATATACACACATACATACATATATACTGAATATGAATGTGTGTGTGTGTGTGCGTATGTGTATGTGTGTGTGTGTGTGTGTCGGTGGGTGGTTGTGTGCGATTTTCTCCATGTTCATACTGCTTTTAGAAGTAACTGTCCAAAAATATCTGACTAACAATTACTGTACATCAATAGGGAAGAATCTCCTTGACTTTGACAATAGATCCACACCAACTGTTAACGCAGTTAAGTATCAGAGAACTGGGAACAAATTAAGAACAACGTTTATAAAAGCGGAAACAGAAAAGAGAGGACAAAGGAAATAACAAAGAAGAAAATATCCTAAAAAAGGTAAAAGGCCGTGCACTTATTGTAAGCCCAACACCTTACCTCTGACGTACAGAAGCACGACGAGGAATCCCTAAAATGGAAGCATCGAGTTTTTCCAGATTACCTGACTCGGCTGCCCTTAATCCCTCCGTGATACATGGCACACAAACAACATATCACAGAAGACCCTCTGCCCTTTTGGAGGTTTAGAAGGGATATAGCAAGAGCTCATCTCACGCACAATAACAGTTTGTAGGAATGTGACAGTATGTTGAACAACGAGAGGGAAGCGACGCCTGTTCAGGAGAGAAAAAGTCTTCAATTTGAAATCAGTGTGTAAAGTCTCCCCTTTTCCACTACATTTTGTTAAAAACTCCTCAGTATCAAAACAATTTGTTAGATTAATAAATGTTTAAATGTTCTCTTTAATTATAGTACAACTTTAAATAACTAATAAAAAATGATTTCAAAGTGACAATATCAATATTATCAATTACTGCAATTCAAGGTTTGAGTTAAATCTTTGTAAAAAAAAAAAAAATAATAAATACATTTATTAACTGAATATGATCAATGTATTATAATAAAATCACAAGCTTTACGTAAAAAAAAAAAAAAAAAAAATAAATGAAAAAATAGATAAGACATGTAGGTTCTTAACTCTTTAAATACAACTAGAAAGTTATGACGCACTGCTATATAATTATCAATCATGAAACTTATGCAAAACTATTTCATATCTTCATGAATCAAATGCTATAAAGCAAAATAACAATCATTATAAAAGTAATGCATTAATCAGTATCTCAAAGTTAATAGCGAATTAGTTATTACACAAAATAATCATGATCACCTGACAAGCAAAAAGTTAAATTATAAAAATGCTCAGTGAATTAAATTTTATACTAAAAGTAAAATAATCTTAAGAAAAATAAATGGTTAATTATAACAAACGCAAATTAAGTTGCTTCTCTATGTGAATATATGAATCAGACATCAAGCAAGTAAAAGTAAGAATCATGACAAAAGCAAATACTTGATAGAAAAAAAGCCAACCTTACGCTCCGTCGAAAAATAACAAGACTCGTTATCTGCTGAACTATGAATCTTAGAAAGCACTTAATTATTTAATTACATAAAAAAAAACTAACGTATCTATTCTCATTAACTGTTGATAAATAAGGATATATTGCCCTTGATCTTTAGTACATTTATAGATTATTAGCCGTTAACACAATATTATCACAACATTAGTTACATTTCTATAATCAAGTTTCTTCATTACATGTTCATAAAAATCTTTGTTTTCTTCCTAATCCTAATTATGTTCCAGAATAACACTCCCTTGTTACTGTCTTCCATTTCTAATTCCTGTCCACTCTGTTCCATCACAATGGTGCACTAAAATACTTCAAACGGGCTTACCGAGTTGAACATAGCTACTGGATGCTACTCCGAAACCTAATCCACATTCTCCGACTTGCTTGTTAATTATTTCTTATCGTTAGAAAGATGCCCACATCAGGACTTCCTATATTCCAGCACATTTTTAACACTCGATTTATCACTTCTAACTTTTTCTACCTGCCACCCGAGTTCATTTCTTGTTCCCAAACTGATTCACTATGATCTTTATTGCAATCGATTAGAACTTGTTTCGCACTCGAGATTTCGTTTTTGCTTCTGCTGGTCCATCACGCGGTGTCACCCTCTGTCACATCATGACTCGCCACTTTGAGTCATAGGGCGCTTCTGTGTTTTGCATCTGTGTCTTGTCCTCTTGACCGTATTTTTTATGTGGATTCCGCTCGAGTTGTCGCAATGTTATTCTATCTTTTGCGTTTCGTCCCAGCTTGTTTGTTTCGCCCGTTCGTATGGGATCCGCGTCGCCCTCGTGTTGTTCGCGTGATAATGCCTTCATGAGTCTACGACAAAGAGAAATGCTGATTTTGTAAACCGCGATAAAAAAATGTATATACTAGGATAAACTGGGATTGTATAAACCGGGATAAAATTGTACAAACAAGGATAAGTCGGGATTGTATAAACTGGGATCCATACTGAACGGGATGTAAACAAAACGACGAAGGGAAGAACAAGAAAACACGCGAAAAGGCCTTTGGTGATTCAGGTCTTTTCTTTTTCTCTTTTTCGTTTCTTTCGTTTACAGCATATTATGGTGGACGCCACTTGTGTGTGTGTGTGTGTGTGTGTGTGTGTGTGTGTGTGTTTATTCATAGTGACACTGCCAGAAGTAGCGGTCCAGTAAGACTTAAATGGCAATTACCGCAAGTCCTATGCGTAAATAGGGAAGCATTTCCCGGATCTCACCTGCTGTTACAACTGTCCTAAAGTGGTTCCAAAAAAGCTTGTACATCTTATATCCAACTTTTAGGGATCTAGGAAAGAAGAAAAAAGTTAAACGTTAAAAGTAAAAGAAA